ATCTAATTAATGTGCTTAATTCGATTGTTGTTTACTGAGGCGAAACCCAATCGTTATTTGGTTTTAACTCGTACTTATGTTAATGCCAAAAATGACAACTTATAAGATTTCCTCTAGTTTCTGTAGCCCATAATAAATGTACTTCTTAGTTAATTATTAGTGAAAAATCAACTCGGTAACAGAAAGAAACACCAAAGTTCATGCGAAACTATCGTCTTTGGCACCGCCAGACAACAGATGAAAATTTGATTTTTTTCTTAAATATATACATATGTCAATCTTAGCATTAACAGGAAGGTTGCATTAAAAAACTGAAATGCATTTTCGTAGGACTTATTATTGTTGTAGTATAGATATATCAGTGAAAAAATAAAACTTGTATGTTCACAATGACATACTTGCGAAATTAATGTTGCTACCGGGTGTTAAAGGGAATGTCGGCTAGATACAAAAGACGCAACAATAACTGATACTGGAGCATTGTCTCTTATCAGAAAAAAGTTTGCTTAAATCGCGCTTAAATTCTGAAAACATGATGATACAGCGAAAACTCTTCGTGCAAGTCATAGATCTGTGTACGTCCGATACTCTTGGAGCGGGCGGTGGAGGAAACCGCCGAGTAGCAGAGTGATCTAGGCGCACTATATATACGAGAACGAATAATGCGGATGGTACTAACTTGTATACTAATTCGGTGACAGCTTTGATCTGAGGCATCAGATCAATAGACACTAGAGCAAAAAAGTATGAGATGTATATTATGAGAAAAGGAAAATGCTGTCAACGAACACGAAGGGACTAATCAGGGAAATTGCATAGCTACGAGGCGGTAGGCGCACATCTTACGACTCGCGTAGCACCGCGCTTCAGGTGGTCAAAGGGCAGTCCGCACGACGCTCCACAGTCTCAACACAATTGTCTACTTTTGACGGGACGTAGAGAGACGTTACATATAAGCTTTGATGCGGACACGATCGTCTCGAACTGCAGGTTGGCCATTTGATACCACAATGGTAGCGTAGTTCCCGACCTAGTACTCAAAACTTTATTTGTAGCTATCTAAAAAAAAAAGAAGTAGCTCAAGTTGCGTAGAACATTGGAGTCAGTGACTCCTCTAAGTCAGATGAGTGATCTGTAGCTATGTTTGTTTACATCCATCTTTTTCCCCGTCTCGTTTTTACCAATCGCGTAATTACGTTCTTACTCATTGAGGCAGGGTAATCAATTTTGATTTGTAGCTAACAAACTTGCCTGTTTATCGTGTTAAGGGCCGTCATATTTAAAACATCTCAGAAATGGGTGTCGGCCGACACACTGGAACATTGTCCATGGAAATCTTTTATATAGCTACCCACTACTCAAAAGTTGTTGTAAGGGATAGGGTTCTCTTGCCTAATTTTGCCCGCGTAAATCCAGTAGAATGGAAGTGATTTTATGAGAACAGGTTATCACTTCGTTTACGTGATCTACGTATGGCTCTGAGGTATATATTCTTTTCTTCGAGAGAAGACAGTTTCGTGGTAGCTATTCTAGATAACGGAGTGCTATCTCAGCATTACATTGCATTTGTCCGCTACGTATAAATTCACCTGAGACTAGGTCAAACATCTATTGTAACAACAGGCCCTTGTTTAGCTAGTATTCCGCAGCACCATATTCAGCACGCACAGTGATTTCTGTTACGAAGCGGAGAGCAAGTCCAAAATAAACCTGAAGGATTCTTCTATTGAGACAGGAGTAAAAATAAGCAAATGTTTGTTGTTAGCCTGTCGTGGAGAGACTTAAGGCGAGAACGAACTGCATTTACAAATATTCTAGGTAAAGATGCACAAGCAACCGATATTAAGTACTCAATGCACTTAGCTATAAAAGATTCCCTAGCGTCGAATGAAAATCACGCGTAGAAATATAGGTAGGCAAAGCCAGGCGCTTTCCGTCTACTTACTCGTCGAAATCCTACATTAGCTCATAAATTACTAGTTAACAAGCATAAATTGAATCAACTTTAAACGCGACCGCCAGATGTTTGTTTGGCCGAAGCGCTATACACACACACACACACACACACAAACACACTTGTATCTCCTTGCTACAGAATGCATAGGACTACTTCATGAAGAATGTTTGAATTTTTCATCTGCTTGATCTACTATGCATGTATGTATTGCTTAAAGCGATGGCTAATACGACGAAGACAGTAATGACAATTGTAGGAAACGAGCTTCATAAATGTAATTAGCAGGAAGAAGCATCGTCATGCTTACTACTAGTATAAACGCTAGCTGATTTCTTGTCGGCGAATAGAAGGAGGGTCAAGAGACAACCAGACGTGGCCGAATCGTGACAAGTGAAACAAGCGCTCACCGCAACGGTTCGTACGGATTTCAAATGAGCGCGCCAATTCTAACTAATTGATACAAACGACCTATTTATACGGTAATCGTTTCAGAACTGGACAGCATTTCAAAATACTCCAAAACAAGACTTCAACAATTCTAACGTATAAGAGTTGAAATCTAATGGTAATGGAGCATCCTGGGATGAAGTTTTAAAGGTATTTACTTTGGTGTAATAGGAGCCACTATAAGAATTTCATGATACGTTCCAGGGTGCCATTTAAGAGATCAAGCTTGTGTCTAGAGCAAACTTTTCTTTTTCGATACCTTTTTATTACCGCCGAGAACTTGTCACTTACTGCTCATGGCTACTACACCTTGGTGGTGCTAATAATAAAAAAAATATATACATCAACTCTGTGAGTGATCTGTGTTAGACAACAAACGGTAGAGGCATCGCGTACCGAACACAAGTATATCCTCTTAATCGTTCAGTGGATTTGACAGGCAATATACATCAAAAATCGTTAGAGGGATGTACAATAAATTTTCAGAATAATAATGTTATGTACAAATGTTGTCTGCTATAGCTCTTAAATATCACTAGCAACTCTTTCGTTCATTTGAATGAGAAAAATAGGCTTATCGCGGACATAGATAACTGAATTGAAACGTTGTCGGATTTTGTTTCGCTAGCGCCCGTTGATATCGCCCGCGCGAATTTGAATGACGCACCACCGCCTATCTGGGCTAGCCAAGCACTATCGGCCTATCCGATTAAATCCGGGTCAGAATCAAGACAAGAAAAGCTAATAAATCTGAAGTTTACTGTAATGAGCAATACTTCTATTGCTCATTTCTAATCATCTTTCCAACCAATATGACATGGAATACAGTTAAGCATCTGATTAATTATCAACCATAAAGAGATTACTCCTGGCTTGGTAGACCATTGAAAATGATCTCTGTTTCTTTCCAGCTTTTTCTTTTGATTACTAAAAAAAGACCCTTCGGATATCTTGAAGCGTTAGGATAATTCCATTTTTTACACGACGAGTAGAATTTGCCTCATATATTATATAGGTATATAATATAACAGTATGCATAATAACAAGGCATATGCTAGTAGCACGGGTGCGTACTGCATCTGCTATTTTTATTCAGAGCGTATGTCAGCTGCGGCATTAAGGGAACGAAATTGCTCTAACGAACGTCGCCCATCGTTCATTTTCGTTGCTGCAAAATAAAGCATCGGCGAAAGGACCGCATCTAGGCGAGGTCTAATTAATTACATGATAAAACTAATAAATGAAGTAGTCAGAGAAGCATTGAAAGGGTTACAGTTCAGTATTCTTAGGCTTATCGTTGTAATTATAGTTTCATAATTAGAAAAACAAATACCAATGTCCTGTGGAGGGTATTATATTGAATTATTGAATGATTTATTGAAACATTCGATATATGCAAAGCATCGTAATTTCGGATAAAAGAAAAGCTCTAGGCATAGTGGTCTTACAGCAGGCTTAATTAAAGTAAGTGACAGACATTTCTACGTTCGTAGAGAGTTCGTATTGGCCTAATACAGTATAACATATATCTATTAGGCATGATCGGATTGGGGCATTATATTAAGTTCCTTGAACGTTGATCATACGTATAGTAAACGTCGAAACTTTTTCATTTATTCATCTTTATGCACATCGATGGCCAATTGGGCCGTAATTACTATCTTCATGTCTAAGTCGGGTCTATAGAGTTAATGGGCGTGTAGAACGTTTAATTTTCTAAGGAGTTCATAGTAGTCTGTGCAGTTGGATCGGTTCCACTTCAGGAGGCTCAGACGTGACAACGCAAATCACTAATTACGTGTAATTAAATTCAAACACCAAAAAAAGCGGTTTTACTTAGTCATAATTAAGGGTCTAAATATTGTAACTGGGACGGCAAAATATCAGAGAAGAATATAGACCAATCAATAGACCACTGGTTGCCGATCAGTGTAGAATTATTTACCCGGTAATATGGCGCACTAAAAACGTTACTGCGAAAAAAATTGATTAATTAATATACATAGGTGAGGAAAACTGTCCAAAGGATCTCGCTGTTTTCAATTCTGGAACGTCATGTTGACATACATAGTGGAAAGTGTTAGCGATAAGTTAATATAAAATTTTGCATAATAACAAATTGACGAAATAAACAAAAACAGTGAATTGCAGACGAAGTGGCACGATTACTCAAAGAATAATAATTAACTGTGATTTTAGAACACTGGAAAAAAGAAAATGTTATCAAGGCAATAGAGCTGCAATACTTTGCCAGACTGTCGCAAGTCTAATGGCCTTCAAGTGAGTCAAAGTGGTAACCCTTTATAAGCTGTCGTAACACGTATACATACGTGGTGCCGATTTAGATAGATCGACACACAAAAAATATTGATACACAATTTAGCATAGTTGCAATGGCAATAACGAGAAATAAAATCATTTGGTGACTGTACTATACAAGCGCCTGAAATGCAAAAATCCTACCTGGGCTTCTCAAGAGCTACGTGGAAAAATAAGATGGAGCTTTAATATCGTTATGAAATTTGCTCTAATTTAATACGCTACAGAAATCGCATAAGGAACAAGCAAGCTAAATGTAGTATCACTCCGTTTTTAGGATCTGGTGCCGCTTCGAAATCGAGGCTCAGGTAATAATAACTCTGGAAGTTCCGACGGATCTCCGCGCGCTGGCTCTGGGCTTGACTTACTTGAAATTACCAACGATACACCAAGCGGGGGTAGGCTCAGCCTTCAACTAAACGAGGCTGGAGGACCCCATAGCCGTACGAGGGCGTATGGCCTTCCCGGACACCAGGCAAAAGTAAGTCACTCATATATTTGTAAATAGAAAAGATAAACTTAGATAATATAGCTAACGTGATGCTTCGGCGAATCACAATCCAGTTATACTGAGCCGAGACCTCTGAGCTCGACGATACTTGATGACTCAGGTATCGTCGAGCTCAGAGGTCGCGTGCGTAATGCCATGTTGGAGTCAAATGAATCAGTTCTCAAGGCAGTAAAAATATCGATGTCTCGAGCGTGTATAATATTGACATCTCTGAAGTGGAATTATCTTGAGCAAATGATGCAACGTTTCTCTTAAGCCTTTCACAAATTTGTACGTATAGTTAGCGGACCAGTTTGTCTATAATGATACATTTCGTAGATCGAAGCCCACCAACCATTATACTTCGTTTGGCACATAGCAGACCATATACGGTATAGCTAAACTTTTTCTTATTTTGCAATCTTATCAATAACAGATATGAATTAGAACGCCAAAGTCTATTTCGCGTATACTATAATATAGTCTAGGTGGCAGTTGTTCATTCACTATATTACTCGATAGGTTCCTGCGAGCGTTTGACGGCCGTCAAAAACGCTGTTTATATCGCCGAAACCCGCTGCTGTACGACCACGCCAGGGGATCCAACTTCTCGCAAGATTCATGATACTTGAATTATATGTTTTCCATGTCCTGACAAGCGCAACCTTTCGCGCGTCCGTGACAAATTCAGACATCTATTTTTGTTCAGCAATCTGACATCTATAAATCCTTTTTAACCTATTTCTTCCATAACGAAAGCAATCGGAAAATTCCTTGTTCAAGAAGTCTAGCCATCGAGCTGAGCGGTTGCTATTGTTGAGGTCAGATACCTCAGATTTGTTTATTTACTCAATTATGATGAGTTTTCGTGGCTTTTTATGATTATGTCTTTTTCATACTGTCGATGGAAGTATTACATGTTCTTCACAGTCTAAATAACAATCCATCTGATACCGACTCGTATTTTTAATTAATTTTGCATCGCAAGACGGACCACAATTTCCATTTCTATTTCCAAGCACTAGACGTAGATGCCGTTTTTACTTCAGCTCAAGAGTACAAGGCAATGTTAGATATATAGGTCTGAGAAAACCGCCCATAACGAAAGAGTACAACTATTCACAGCTCAAGTACTTTAGCTGTGTTGAAAAGGTCTCGAAGCGAGACGCCAAGATGTTTTTTTAGACCGTAAAGTGTCACCGTGAGAAAAACTAGTGCTTCCTGCCGCGACTAGAGATGATGGCCGCGAGGTTATAGCGTCAATTTTGACACTGGGCAAAGCATCTTTCTGATGGCTGTGCTGCTCATCCTTACGAATTCAGCAAACAGTGTTATTAGAAAGAACATAAGATGACTTGCGGATAGAGTTTTCCTTAGTCTCTCTTTGATTATATGTCTTCGTCAAATGAATGCGCGAGCCGGTACGACAAACAGAAGATATGACAGAAGGCGTGATAGTATTTGTAACGTAACATGTTTGCGTATTTTCAATAAAAGTTGGTATATTTCAGCTTCGGTAGTTGTAGAAAATACAGGTAAGACTTTTCATATTTGTACCCTTGATAGCGCTCGCCTCTAGCAGCAACACGCAGATATGACCACATGTAGACGCCTATTTAAAAAAAAAAGGTTTAAAAAAGACAGAGTTTTCGCATTTACTATATTCGTTCTAATAGCCAGTAGTCAATGTGTATATTGTTTTTTTTTAGTGGGTTAGCTAAATTTAAATAAGTTGTATATCTAAAGGGAAGCAGCTAGTTTATTTAACAACAAAAAGTAGAAGTACTAGCCGCCATGATGTACGATATATGACGACACGGATATATTTGCAATTCTAAGTATCTAAGCCTACGATAATATGGTATACTTACCGATATCGTAACAAGGCGTTGATAAGCATAGCAGTTACTCTCACAAGCTCGAAAACAGGCGTGCTTTACATATGAACTTAACGCATCGTATCTGAACGCGTTAAACCTCACTAACGTATGTTAGCATAAAGAGTCAAAAACGAGTTATACAGTCGTGACGAACGCGTCTATAATGAAGCACATAGCGCCGACAATACTATATGATCTGAATAGAATCTGTACGGAATGGCTGGGCAAAGGAACTATTACGAAGAGGCAGCCGGATGGGATTTTTCAGAGGATTCTGTTCTTTCTTGGCTTGAACGATGTGTATACGTACTTCCACCCCCGTCCAAACCCTACTAAAAGGAAGCAGCAGTAAAATAAAGACAAAAAAGCCCACTAGAGTACGTACCATCGCACCGAGCCGCTATTATTATTATATCGTCCCTTCGTCTTGTGTTTGACTACTGCTACGATTGCAGATGAACTGCCGCCTCAAACGTCGACTGTATACACGTGCATCAAACTGTATACATACATACATATATGTATGTACATCGTCATAGGACGATTTAAAAGAGGAAAACAACTGCCCACTAGAACAGATCCGTCTGAGAACATAAAGCATGGCATTGAGTAGTTAATACAGGTGTGCTCTTTTGAATAGTGTAAACCTGCCGCGCTTTTTGTAATCGTGCGCTATATTCTTTTCAGAAGTTCCTCAAAAGAATTTTTCGAACATTTCGAAATTCCAAATGCTTCGTTTTGCACTTCTATGAGAGAAACAGTATTCATTTACCTAGAAATAACAACAAAGCATCGCTTCAATATCTAGCGCTGAACCTAAACCTAACAGAAAGAAAGTTAGCTTATATAGAAGGTTAAAGTCTCATCTACTGGTCCCTATTGCAAAAGAGGACGTCTTCCAATTCATTTATTTGAGCCGAGGCCATAACGGATACAGAATACTATTTAAGATTTGAACGATACAGTCATATTACGGATTACAAGGTTTAGCATTAAAAGCCGCCGAATTCGCAGAACTAAGTAGAATTACAGTGATTGTGGATAGCTAAACGAATCGATAGAAATGTTTGTATGTTCTGTACTGAAACACTAGAACGACATCGCTTAGCAGAAGATAGTGTTATTCCTGCGGCGGAATCAGAGGTGGGAACGGCTTCGCATTACTTCGAATTGAGTAAACACATAGCTTTTTCGATTTCGGAGCATTATCGCGCAGTCGTCTGACGTAATATACGAGCCTTAGCTCCTCTAGTAGAGAGAAAGGGTTATGTTATAAACAGGACTGTCCAGTGACGCCCTGCAATGCGGACTCGTTGTGTGGTGCCCGAAGGGTGATCTGGTCATTCCTGTCCTATATCAAAAAATAATTATCTCTTTGTGTAGCAGTGTATTTGTTTGTTAGTCGGTCGTTTTTCACGGCCCTACAACGAACCGCAATATGATTGGCCTAATATGGCAAGCTCTATTATCATATGAAGCAATAAAGTTTCATTGTAAACATGTTTGACCGATTGTTTTGTTTTTGCGTTACGTTGATACGTGTTATGCGTACGCGGACTGCTGCAGAGTATGTAAACAATATACATACATTCATATAAGCTGTGGCGCGCCCACTCCTTAAAAGGCTAAAGAGAAAGAGAAAGGGGTTGATGTTGCAGCTAAATAGTTCGGCCCAGCATATCATTAATGTTACGTTATAAATATAATTAGCACATTAGTCGTTTTTACGTCGACATAGGCGTGAACTATAGCTCTAGGCAATTCGGTTCAAGATGAAGATTTATAGAAGTGATCAAGTACCTGTCTTATAAAACTCCATAGCTGAAGGCAGACCGAGACGTACCGCTGATTACCACGGTAGCTACCATTCAGACTTCCGTTTAAACACTTAGACCTGTAGTAAATTTAAGTTATCAGTAGTTAGTTGCAGTTATGATCCCAAAAAAGACTATACATAAAAACAACAATGTATTTAACGTTGAGTATGTATGCTAAAAGTAGTATTTTGTTTATTGTCAGATCTATTTACATGAAAACTAATCGTTTTCATTCTATTTGAAGGGTTCACTAAAATGTCGGAAGTTGGCGTTAAACTTTTTTCAAAAAAGTTACGGTTATTTAACGAAAGAAAGAAAGAAAGAAATCCTGTACAAGTCTAGAAGTCCATTGCATCAACAGATGACTATAGCAAGAACGACGATGAAGTACACAAATATGAGATTTATGTTTAAAATCTGTTCAACTGACGTGAGACATATAACGACTCAAGTTACGCAAACACTCTGATCGTACTCTTCTCCGATGGCATACAACGAACCGGCGCTAACCTTACTTGACCTACATTTGTGAGCTACTAATAAACAGAAAGTAAAGGGCTAATGCCTTTAAGCAAGGCTGCCTATTTGCTTTAGGGTCATTAACAGCAAACGCTTACCTTCTACATATAAAAGCGGTCTTCGGCCTGACCTGCATTAACACGTAACTCAATAGAGCCCTGCTTATTTCAGGACGTCGAAGGTAGTTCGCCGGACGATGGAGCTGACGTGCCGCTCCTTCCTTCTTCGTACGAGGAGAGCGAACAAACGACGGTCAATTTAGGAGGACCTCGTCAATGTCAGGCTTCTATCACCGAAGACAAGACTGGCGCCTCAGGCAATCGATCTTCAGAAAAACGACCGTCGTTACTGAAGAAAGCTAAAGAGCCACCAGGGTGAGCCTAAGGTTTCAAAGAAACTCACAAACGTTTCAAGAGGCGTGTTATTATAAATAAATTAATACTTTCGTTCGCAACACCTAGCTTTTCTATACTGAAAGCCTTAAATCTGGCCGTAAAGTCCGGCTGCTACCAAGCCTTGTTAAAGGCCTAGCGCCTATCTCTTCGTCTTCTCAGACGTCGTTTCGTCTTCCTCGTTGACCGACACCCTACGATGTTCGAACGATCGTTGTTGTTGTTGTTCTCGTCATTTATCAAAGGTTCATAAATCAGATCTTGAATTAAGTTTTATTCAACTAGAAAGTTTTGATTGGCCATCCCAGCAACGTGCAGATTCGAATATCAGTTAAAATAGTCAGGACCAAGTGGACGTATAACCCCTACGGTTAGAGAGGGATATTTGCGTTAAGCCTTTAAAAATAAGGCTTCGAAACCGTACAGCTTGTTTTTAGACGCTTTGAAGTTACATCAATAATATACAACGGGGGTCACACGACAAGTGTATGAGTGTCGAACATATCTTTTTAAAGCAAATCAATCATTAGGCAACATAAACGAAGCGTATAGAAAACAGTTAGATTCACTTCCAGTCAAAATTACTTTAGCCTTATCATAAAGTACCAAACTGGCTGGTAGTAGAATGTACACTTATTTCTTTGCTCAGTGCTAGAATATTGCCAGAACAGGCTTTTTACTCACAAGTAGAACGATGATTATGTACATTTTTCAATATTTATGTATGTATCGAGTATCCAGTCGCTATGGAGATTGAGTGATAATGATAGAATTGTTGAAATGGACAGTTCGAACTAGCTAAATAAGCAATTTTTACTAATGAAGTTACATTATTTATCAGAAATCGTTCTTCTAATTGCTACCGTCGCACTTTTTATTCAGTGGCTTACCGGTACAAGACTTCCATCGTGTGGACACCGGCGATGAGCCACTTACGTCCCCTGAACCCCGATCCCGAAACCCCCTGGACGAACATCCTAAGGTATAGTGCTATGTGGCAATATATATTGCCACATATATTTTTACTTGGACATTGTCGTTTATCTATATCATTCCAACGGAGAAGACTAAGTTTATTCTTATAACCCTACAATTGCTACGTTGTATTAACTAAGAAGAAGGTGTCAATTTGGGGCATTAAAAACAATTACCGACGCAAATTCAATAGGAAAGCATTAGCCAGAAGCAGTGCATCGAGCAGAGCGACGTAATAGCCGACCTTGTAACTTCATTTTTCTTCTATTTCATTTGTTTATAAAGGTCGGCTTCATTATCGGCGATGAGGAAAGTCATCCTGGCGGCCGCGAGCGAAAGGATAAGCTTCGTGAGCATACTCGAGACAGGTTAGAAATGCGTATTGCTTGTATACCTATCAGCTACCGGGGATTTCAAGATTGTGCATTTATAAAGCAATTCGACTTCTGAAATTATAGTTGTCAAAATTGACTCGTGCCATTCACGTAACGCTTCATAGAATTCCTACCTCGTTTTAAGCAATGAGAAAACTAAACGATAAACCTCTCAGGGCTGCTTCTTGAATTTTCCTGCAAAGCCCTAATCAGACATTGGTTAAAGAATGTGATCAACTTGTTTTATACGTTATATTTAAACCGTCTCTTTACTGGGTCGTGCCCGTATTACTATTTGTTTCCCTTAGACACGCATCGGGGCGTCCTCATCGTTTTCACGCTTATCACCAGCCCTCGCGGGATGGACACAGGGATTCGCAGAACAACGACAACTCCTACAATCCCGCTAATAGGTTTGTTCTTGCAGCGCTTGCGGCAGGCACAGATCGCGGTATTACCGCTTTGTGGAACCTAGATGAATCTGTAGTCAGGAGAATAATGTACTCAGGAGTATATTTTTGCATCCATATGTATATATATGTTATTTGCAATTTATAGCAAGTTGCTTGATCATAAAACTTTATAATAAGTATAAATCATATATAGAATAGTGATTGCTATAGAAGAAATCGGTGTTATGTCTAAAAAGATATGTTTGATAGGATAAAAAGCCCTTATTCTTTTCGTAGCACTATCCTTGGGTTTGTAAATTTGCTATCAGAGCCAGATTTGCAATTGTTAAATATTTCGGATACTGTAAAATAGTTAAATCAAAGGGGATTTTGGCCAGCCATGTTAGTAATATTAAGACAAACTTCAACCGCGACCTAGACGTAAAAACATGTCAATTGAAAGAATGTTTCTGCAGTTAGGAGACGCTGGCCGAAATCTCGCAATGCAGTGACAAATACCAAAAGTCAGGCCCAACATTCTCGAACTTGATTTACAGCTAAACGTTTTGAAATCCCTGTCCCTATATATCCTAAAAGAATCCTTACATTAAGGTTGCCGGTCTTACAGTAACAGTTCAGAAAATAATCGTTTAAGGTACACATCTTTGCATCCTTAGAAAATTTGCCACTCTGCTGAGCGATATATAAAATGATTTTCAACATAAGCCTGTAGTAGTGGAAGTTAACTCGGGACCAAAAAAAGGCTAACTTACTTTGGAAACGGTCAGCAGCAGATATGGTCTTGAGTGCCAGCAACAAAAAAATGATTGACATCAATATTCAATTGCAGGTATCGGCTGGATGACGAGTTTGGTGGATTACTATCTAGTATCGATCAGGAAGATCTACTTAGTAAGTGTGTTATTTAAATAGAACTGAATTGTGTGAATGCGCAATGAATTACAAATGTAAAAACGTAGGCTTAGCCTAATAGGCGAAAGTCTAGGATTTAGGCTTCGATCAAGCAGGCTCCATATTTAGGACATTATATTCCCGGGATTTGGGCGGCTTAGCGCAAGTTTTCGCAATATGCCCAGGCGTCTTCACTTTCAAACAGCAGCTAAGCTCCGCTCGAACTGTGCTTTACGAAATTTATTCTGCTAAGTTATAAAAGTTTTACGTGCAATACTGCCATGTGGTATTGCTCCAGACACCCGCCCTTAGCACAAAACGAAATGTGTCTACGTCGGGCTCGAAACCTCCACAAGCCTTCAGGAGTAATACGCAAACACCTTACCACTGAACTATTACGTAGACCATCCCCGAATAAATCAGCTTATCACTCAATTGGTGCTGGGGCACAAACTTGGCCGAGATCCTGCATTGATCTGAAGTAGATGGGCCTATGGTCGAAGCATCGTACATATAATTAAAATGAGTAATCGATCATTTCTTTGACATGGCATGTCCTTTACTATACATTTAGATGTGTAATTTGTCAAGCAACTTCAACCAGATGTCGTTAAGTTAACAAAATATCGTCGCATTTGTTTCATGTTTCACTTATTGAAAATTATAGTTTTTCAGTATGATGTCCCTCTGCTTGAATAGGATCAGGGGTCACTGCTTTACTATGTGCCATCAATGACACGTATTAGATAATCTGAGCGAGCAAAAAAAGTTACTTATGTTGTGCTAACAGTTCGTGTATGACTGAAATTATATAGACCGAGGTGTACACACTAGCAGTGGATTATCTTTTATGTGAAAAAGGGCCCGTCTATGGCAATCTCGAGCGATGCAACAAAGGACTTGTCGGTTATATAATATAAGCTGATAGGGTTATAAAGTGCATTTTCAAGATATGCTCACATCGGCCGTCCTCTAATTAATTTAGTGGGATGCAATTAGAGACCGAAAAGTAGTAATTGGTCTCTTGAGTCAGGCATCGACTGGTTCCCTGTGTGCTAATACTGCCCGGCTGTCATGCCGATAGAGCAAAGCGTGTGTTTTCAATCAGTCTTCTTCTAAACGATAGCGTTTAATCGTGAGATCTGACTCACCGTGGATCGACTCACCGCCACCACAGACACCTTGGCCGGGCCTTATCTGGCCTTTGGCGTGCCTCCGCAACCCCTAGCCCCCGTTAATTAACAGTTAATATGCTTTTTCTTGAACGTGGTAGTTCGGGTACGATACCGCCCAACAGGCTCAGCTAATTGTTTGACGTGTGCTATTGTTCTGTCTAATCTATCTACCCTATACAGGCCATCGGTTCGAGGACCCTCGTGGTTTCAGGAGACACATAATCCACCGAGCAGTGCCCCAGAGGGCGCCATCTAAAGATCTCAAGGATATCGATAAAGACGATAAGGCGACCCAGGGTAGCGATGGAAACGCCTGTCATCCACAAGTCGTTGCCAAAAAGGTTTGAGCAACAAAATAGCTGATTTACGTCCACAACAAAAACCAAAGGAACAGTTGATTGCTAATTTATATCATTAAAGTAGTCTGATAGTAAAGTAAAAGTCTAATAGCAATAATACTGTGTCTTTGTATTATTTTGTAATAATGTATAAAGCTCTTAATTGAGCTAAAGTGAATTTGGACACCGTTTATCAACCATACTGTCGTTATTTTAGCGGTAACGTTTTTTTATTCCCTATTTTACATTCGCTACTTAAACCATTACTTCAGAGAACAGACTCTCGATACGAAACAAAGCGTACCCCCGACTGGACCACGTATACAAACATTTAGCAGTTAATAACATTAGCTACTACGCTCTCATGTGGCCATGAACGGCTCACTAATTCAACTTCATATATACAAACATGTCCCCTATTTCCCCCCATGAAATGCGTTTTTCGTCTGAGCGGAACAGCAGCGATTGAGTAGAATATGGCGAGCCGCGATGATCGAACAGCGTATCATTGCTTGTAATGATGTCTTTAGTCCCTGTATATATTACTGGCAAACACTATAGGCGGCAGCGATCAGGACCATCCCGTTTTTCTTAACAGCATATACGGCGACAAAGGTCTTACGTCCTTAACCAACAGTGTTTCACTCGGCTGTGAAATAAAGCATATTATATTTGGTATTTCGTTTGGAGATGACTTAAGAGTAAACATTTTTCTATGAATATTTTCATATAGCCATATTAATGAAAAACTATTTGTTTGAGTGATTCGTGCCAAGTAGATTTTGAGCATTGTCATTAGTTCCACCATCCTGTGACAAAGAACACACTTACTAATAAGAAGGAGTATCGTTCGAATATCCAACATCGCCTTGGCATTTATAACCGAAACGAATACTCTGCCTCAATCGGCTCTCGTTAAGCAATGAGACACGCTTCGGGAGCTGGCATTTGGGAACAAGACTTCGGCCGCCCACCTTTCCCTAACGGCTTCTATCTAGTATGTCTCCTCTGAGATCATCGTCACAACCTATTCAATCACAGACCTACAGTAGAGGGCACGCCAGGTCGTGCGGATGATCCTGTCCTTGTAAGGACGACACAGGCAAGTAAGTCCGAAAACCCATGTGGCCAGCTTCCTAACAACAACTATCTAAGATAGGTCAGTATCGCTTTGGGTATCAGCGCATAACGCTGCCACTATGAACAATGTCTGCCCAACCTAAACAAACAACTTGTATGACCGATATTCGCGAAACGACATATTAGATAGCTGCTAAAATTTTTATGCATATAAGGTACTCCCGTGGAAATGGGCCCAAGCCCACTTCAGTTAAAATCAAGAAAGTATATCCTCTTGATACGACAAACAAATAATAGGGTTCTTTAGTTTTCTCCGTGCTAGAATTACTAGCAGATTTGAAATGCGTTTTAAGGCTGATTTTGGAAAATAGCGCGCTTCCAGTTTCCGCGGCACGTTAGATTTTTCTATTAATTCCGAGAGCATCTATAGAAAAATGCACACCTAGAAGTGATGGCAAAAGTCTGTCTAATCACCTTAGCTTCTGTTACCTTATGGGGCTGAATATATTTCCGCCATTGACGTATGATAGCTTTGTTGCTATATTACACAAGTAATTGCTGAACTTATCAACTCATTACCAGACCCTTTCGGTTGCTGTATTTGCGCCGCTAACCTGACGCCAGCCACTGTGTCTGTCCATCGCGGGTTAGATGATCGGCTCAATGATAAATCTTTAACTTTTACATATTTTTAGTGGACAATATTCGGCAACGGTGTGTAGTAGCCCGCTGTGCTACACATATACGTTTTTTTCAGTTTTTTAGCTGTCATATTATGGAGCACGCGATGGGCCGACGTTAATTGGAGCCCATTACGCACCGTGTGTATGGTTTAAACATTTTCGTATTCATGACCAAAGCCGAGCTTATTGAGCTCATTGAAATTTCTGATTTTGGCCTCTGTTTTTAAAAGTGACCTCGTCTCTATCTACCAAGCTCGGCGATATAGAATTCATTAAACTCCGCAGGAAATCCCAAGGGACCGAACAGTGGCGGAAATTATGGCTGTGTTCGTGCTTGTTTGACAACTGCAGTATAATTTTTGCTAGATGAATACAAAAATGTGTACGGCCGGATACGAACCCAGACCACGCCCCGTGTCCCGAAGGCCTTTTCAGCCGGCAACAAAGCTATACACCGATAGTATCGCCGAGAATTTTAGCATCTTAGATAAGGCAAAGTATTGAAACTATCGTTACAGCCACGGAAGTCACCCATATCTGACGATTGTGTCATAATTCAGTGTGCTCTCGTCTAACTTTAAGTTACATAAGCAGATACATGAATAATTCAATAGGCGGTAGTTGCGCAACGGACGCTATTCCCCGCGTGCCACAAACGTTTAGGGCTAAACAACACGATCTATGGGAACGAATTTTTTTTTTTTGGTGTTTGTAGCGCTATGGCTGGCCAAAGTACCGTATCTTTAAACTACATTTGATTGGGGGCTGTTCCGGCAGCTATAAATAAGAACATCCCCTGAGAATGGTATCAATGAGAACGTTCAACTTGTTATTCGCTTAAAGCAGATAACTCTCAAAACTTCAAGATCGGATAGGCGCTATCACGTTAATAGAATGCTGTACCCAGCAAACTACGCTACAGGTCAAGTTTTTCGAGAACTTAATTTCAAACAAGCTTAGATAAGTTCATTGAATTAATCTACTGATGTTTTTTTGCATAATTGCTGACGCATCACACTCATTCCGGTTTATAAAGTAATCCCAGTGTGTCTGACAAACGCCGTTTATTCATTCGCAATGCAACAATTGGTAACTGTACAACGAAATCGACAGAAACGCTATCAGAAGAGCCATTCGAAAAGGCACAATAAAATAGAAATCGCATATGATTACCAGTTGGTGGTGTGTACCAGTGACGCATGTACCCGATCGTCAAATAGAGCTCAAACAGAACAGCACGTGCTTTTAAGCGTGTCACCCGAAGTGCCCACTCACACTTGATGGTCTCCCAGAACCCCTATATTTTTGAATGATATGGGTTTGGTTCACCAGCCAAAAAAGTAACGTTTTTAGATGGTTTAGTCCATATATATATATATATATATATATATATATATTGATAATGCATAAAGAAGATACTTGAAAAGTTCCCTTACACAGCACTTCTTCTGTGTACAAGTCACTATGCTCGTGGAATGACTTCTTGGACCCTAACAGGACTTCATGGATCCGATCAGTCCTAAAAAAAATTTCAGAAGTATTTATAGTATTAATCTTTCGTTGTGTAAATCTTCGTTCTCGAACACAATTTGTATAATGCTGAGCTGAGTCCTTTCATATTGATAAGTTTTTACACTTATATTTCACTAAACACTTACCCGAAATATCTCTGACAGGGGGATAGTTACATTCGTCTAGCTGCGCGCTTCAGTGTGCATCATTGTGAGTCAATGAAAACTGACTACACATATTTACAAATAAACCTATTACATATA